ACTGGCCAACTGCAGCCTCAGGTCCACCATGATCTGCTGGCTGGGGATTTGGCTCCGTGGTCAGACTGAGTGGGTGGTAGTTGATGGAAGTCAATCGTCATGGTACCCTGTGACCAGTGGGATCCCTCAAGGCTCTGTCCTTGGACCTATATTATTCAACGTCTTCATTAATGATGTGGACTTTGGCATCAGAAGTGTGCTGTTCAAGTTCGCTGATGACACCAAACTTTGGGGGAAGCATCCACACCTGAGGACAGGAGGGCGATCCAGGCTGACCTTGACAGGCTCAGAAAATGGGTGGACAAGAACCTGATGGTGTTTAACACCAAAAAATGCAAGGTTCTCCACCTTGGGAAGAAAAACCTGCAGCATCGTTATAGGCTCGGCAGTGCTACGCTGGCTAGCACTACGGACGAAAGGGACTTGGGGGTCATGATTGACCACAAGATGAACATGAGCCTTCGGTGCAATGCTGTGGCTAGTAAAGTGAGCAAAACGATGGCTTGCATCCATAGATGCTTCTCAAGCAAATCCCAGGACATCACTCTCCCATTGTACTCGGCCTTGGTGAGGCCGCAGCTGGAGTGCTGCATCCAGTTTTGGGCTCCACAATTCAAAAAGGATGTGGAGAAGCTTGAGAGAGTCCAGAGAAGAGCCATGCGCATGATTAGAGGTCAGGGAAGTAGACCCTACGATGACAGGCTGAGAGCTATGGGGCTCTTTAGGCTGGGAAAGTGAAGGCTCAGGGGTAATCTGATAGCTGCCTATAAGTTTAAAAGGGGAACTCACCAGGATCTGGGTGAATATCTGTTTATCAGAGCGCCCCAAGGGATGACAGGGTCGAATGGTCATAAACTGCTGCAAGACCATTTCAGGCTGGACCTAAGGAAGAACTTCTTTACTGTCTGAGCCCCCAAGGTCTGGAATAGCCTGCCACCAGAGGTGGTTCAAGCACCTACTTTGAATGCCTTAAAGAGAAATTTGGACGCTTATCTTGCTGGAATCCTATGACCCCTGCTGACTTCCTGCCCCTGGGGCAGGGGGCTGGACTTAATGATCTTTTGAGGTCCCTTCCAGCCCTAATGTCTATGAAATTTATATATGCAAAAATACCATCTCTGGAATCCTGAGGAAAGATGTGCATAACTGTTGTCTTATTAGAAATCTAGTTTTGGCAACATTTCTCTGGATCAAGGTAGGGCAGACAGAACTGGATGATTCCCTAAAAAAAATCTGAAAAGAGGGTTCAGAAAATCTGCTATGAAACCAGCTGAAAAGCTCAGAGTTCTGGTGACAATAGAAGACTCATTGTACTAAGTGGAAACCCAGGAAGAAATCGGAACTATGGAGTCAATGTTTCTGGATCAGTATTATAAAGTGGCCATGCTACATACAGGTTGTAAATGCGTACACCCAACAAACGGAGTGTCCAAAATGGAGGGCTTGGGTGTTCTACATTGGAAATTTATTGTCAGCTCAGGATCTGAACAGGTTTGTGAGACCTGAATAGAAGTTTTCTGATTAACTATGCTCAGCTTTACCAGTGGCATCTCACTGCATATGAAAACATAGTGAAGATATTGTATTAGTGTCACAGAGTGTCTTTCTAGGGGTACTTGCCTGGGACACTTGAGGCCTTGTGTGGTCTCAGAGAATCCCTTGAAGATAGTCCAGGCTTCTCCTCTAGAGAGCAAGAAGGCAGAGACCCTGGTCTTTCCATCTCTTACTGTCTCTGGTTCTCTGGCCCTGACACAAGAAGTGAGAATCCAGTTCTGCTCCCGAGAGAAGGACTTCGCCTTCTCCAGTGCGACTCATTTCTAAGCAGCACAGCAAAGAGTTTAATCAGTAAAGGCATTTATTGGGAGAAAGATGACCCAGCCAGTTTCCCTGTCCCCTCCAAAGGGGTTAAGCAATTCCTCTGTTCCCAGTTCAGCCCACACAAGTCTGAGCACCCCAAAAAATATTCAGCTGTTTGCTTTCCAGCTAAAAAGCTCCTTTACTTCTCTCAGCTCTGGTGAAGTGCCTGAAGACTGGAAGAAGGCCAGGAGCTTCCAAGCTTCTTTCAGACCCACCAGCAATGCAGAAGGGCATCAAGACACTAACAGTCAGAACAGCAATGTGATCAACCTATCCCAAAACATGATACCCCACTCTGAAATATTTGTAATTGTTGAAGGCCTGATATCTGTACTGATGAACAATGCCTTGCATTCAAAAGCTTATGTAACTCAAGCTATGCAGTTGATGCAATAAAAGATATCACTCTAAGGAACCCTTGTTCCTTGCATCAGTATGCCAAAAAAGCCATTCAAGACTGCTAATACTACAGATCCATCTGCAGGTAGCCAAGTCAGGCACTCAATCTATCCTTCTCTGTGCGTAGGCTAAGGAAGTAAATTGAATCACACAAGAGTATAACAGTGTGCACACAGTTAATAGAAATATCATAATAAAACCTGTCATTTGCCACAACTAATTAAAAGAGTCAGAAGGCTATGAAGGATGTTAGATGACATAGGCTCTCAATTATTTACCTCATAACTGCAAGTCTACTAACCAATATTGAGAGAGGTTGCTGAACCTGGGTGATTTTTATTTTCCTTCTTCTAAAACCTGGCTTGCTATGTTTTAGTTTTAGATTTGTTCTTTACCTTTCTCTTATAGGCTGAGGGAGAAGAGCTACAAGAGTATTATCCCAGTTGCACAGGAAAAAAAAAAAGACTACATGGCAAGGTATGTGGTTTAATTGAGTTGCACATTTATTAGCTTAACTTCTCTGGGGCTGCTGCCAATAACTCGTACAGTGCAGGTTGTCCTCATCCCTTCATCATTTAGGAACTAGGTGTGTAAACATCAATTCCTTTCACTCTAGGCATGAATAGTCAGCAAATTACACTTATAAAGGTCTGTATTCAGCCCCACTATCCCTGGTCCGCAACCCATGGCTTCTTGCCTTGTACAGAAAAGATGGAGGGGGTAGCCGCTACTTCTTCCCACCAAGCAGAGGGAGGAAATGCCATACTTTTGACAGGGGAAGACAGCATTACTCATTGCTGCTGATTCAGCTGTGAGAGTGATGTATACTGCCCTATACTACAATGCAATCATACCAAGACTGACAAGAATTGATGTTTACACATTTCGTTTCTAAATACTAACAAAGCCTTTACAAGGGATCTTGAGGATATGCTGCTGATTAAGTAAAGAAGAATATAGATTCAGACAGTATACAAAAGAATGGCTGCTGGACTGTGTTTCCAGAATTACCCCATTAATCTATAAGGCACTAATCTTGGAACTGCGGGGATCAAGGCTGCAAATCCTGCCAATAGGTACACTTGTTTTAGAAATTATTTATCAGTTGCCATTCAGTCTGTTATTTGCAGAGGTGTGTACTGGCTGTTAATGATTTGCAATGGGGGGAGGGGGTGGGCAAAGAACATACTCAAAACTAGAGAGACTATGGCAGCTTGTTAAAGCTATTTATTATAATCAAACCAATGAGAAGAAAGACTAAGCAAGTTAGAGAAGATCACAATTGCAATTACTGAATTATCATGCAGTATAATACACAGTTTTTGGCTGATGCAGAATTTTATTGTATTCAAAAGCTGGTTGTGGAATAGTGCTTTCCCTATGCACTCCTCTCTGACAGTGAAGAGCACTCCAGGAGCTGAGTGTCACTTTGACCCAGAGTCTTCAAGCCTCTCCTTTTGTGGTTCTGGCTCAGACACAACCAAGTCCTTGAAAGAGGTAAAGGCCTTCCACAGCAGCAGAGCCCCAGGTAAAAGTCCAGCAGAAACACAATCCAAAAGATCCTTCAGCCCTACTGGGCCCAGCCCTCCTGCTCTTCTTCAGCTAGACCACAGACCTTAGCAGCTTGCCTTAGGGCTTTTGTCCAGTCTCTGTTTCCTTCCCCCAAGTGTGACACATGGCCCACTGTAGCCCATCTATAGCCCACTGAAATCAATGAAAAGTCTTTCATTCACTTCTGCTGTTTTTTAATCCACCTGTGTCAGGCCTAAACTGCTAAAAAAAACCCCAAACAAACAAAAAAAGATTGGGAAGACTGCAGTGTTCTTTTAGGTTCCAGCCTCAACCAGACTTCATCTGACTTGGACCTTGCGTGGCCATCCTAGAGGACAGTCCAGTTGTCCTCTACTGATATGAAACTGGATGCCTTTATGTCCTCTATTTGTCTCTTGAAGACAAAAAATAGAGGAGATAAAGGTGCCCAGTTTCGTATCAGTAGAGGACAGAGGACAGAGTAGCAGAAAACCGGAATGTCCTCTATGATGGCCACCCTACTTGGACCCTGCCAGCCTGCTCTTCTTCTCACTCAGCCCCAAGTGAGATAAGCTCTCTCCTTCCAGACCTGGCACACACATAGCAGGGCAGGGTTGGCAGGTGACTGTAACCTCATCATGGCTAGTGTGGGCTTGTATACTCTAGCACACATGTATTAATTATCTGCACGTTATGTTACTATAGGAGTGATCAACCTGATTCTCTGTTTACTTGCATTTGTTCACACCAGTGTAACTTTTCTGCTTTCAGTGAAACTATACATGATGTAAATTGGTGTAAGTGAGAGGAAAATCCAGTTTGACTGAAACTATTTTACCCTATTCTTAGAGAACTAGGGTCAAGTCCTTACTCAGCCTTTGGCCAGGAAATGCACAATAAAATCAATGAGCATTCACCACCCCACAAAATGCAAGGACTGCTACAAAGGTCTCTTTCTTTCCAATTGCAGAGTATGTGGAACATCTTCCCTTTCATTTGGGAACTTTCATGTGACAACAACAGCAATAGCTTTCATGGAAAATTAGAAAAAATATATTTAATGTGTTTTTAATGGAGTCTAAATTCAATTTCAGCAGTTGGAAGAAACAATAGCCAGCTCCACAGAATCAGCCAGCACTTCAAACAACACCATTGTTTCCTGGACCACAAACTGAGGATTTCTGAATGACAGTGTAGTACAAAAGACAACCTACTTGATAGCCAAATGTATTGTTTTGTGATCCATGTCGTGGCACTCCTGGATTTTCACAAGCTGTGCGGGTAGGTTCTAAAACAACATAAAGAACAATATAATATATTGCATCTTTCTAGTAAAAAGCTAGATTTCATAGGTAGTATAAAAATATCATAAAAGTAAAAGTAATTTAATAATATTTAAACAGTTAGCTTTAATAGCAGGAGAGTAAAGGAAAGCAATCACAGTAATATAGATCTCCTTTTACCTATACATCGAGGTGATGAACCACTCCAACTCCCATCTGCTTGGCATATCCTGGTACTGGATCCAACCAAAATGAAAGGAATATGGCAGCTGAAAGAGACTTCTGACTGGTAGATGAAGCTCTTGCCTTCTCTTTTCCCTTGAGCAGGAATACCAGGGTCACCACAAAATTTTGCTATGAAAAAAGACATGAAGTATAGAAAGCATTCACCATTTAGTATAAGGTATTAAAATAAGGTATGAATTAAAGAATCTGAGCTTAACCAATTATTTAAAAAATGTATATACTTTTCTTATATACAGTCTACATATATAAGAGAGGATTGCATCCCTTCCATATGTCACTCCTATACATGCACAGCTATATGTTTCCCAGTACTCTACAACATCAAGGCACAAGGCATTCTGCAGACAGAAATTGCAGAGCACATCAGCCCTTTGCTTGATCTCTCGACCTCCACCCATACAGCAAGGCATCATAACTTCATAACCTGAAGGCTAACTTTGGTCACTTATCAGGTCTTCTGTGCTTTTGGAGGAGTAAAGGATTTTTCAGAATGACAGATTCTTACTTCCTCTAACTTAACAAAAATGTGCTTATCTGCACCTTTATACTTAGGACAGAACAATCTTATTGCATTTAGGATGGAAAATCCCATGCACCAGTACAGGCTGGGGGCTGACTGACTGGGCAACAGCTCTGCAGAAAAGGACCTGGAGGTTACAGTGGACAATAAGCTGAATATGAACCAGCAGTGTGCCCTTGTTGTTGCCAAGAAGGCTAATGGCATAATGGGCTGCATTGGTAGGTGTGTTGCCAGTAGGTCAAGGGAAGTAATTATTCCCCTCTAGTCAACACTGGTAAGGCCACATCTGGAGTACTGAGTTCAATTTTGGGCCCCCCACTACAGAAAGGATATGGAAATATTGGAGAGAGTCCAGCGGAGGGTGACAAAAATGGTGAGGGGGCTGGGGTCATGACTTTTGAAGAAAGATTGAGGGAACTAGGCCTATTTTTTTAGAGAAGAGAAGCCTGAGAGGAATTAATAGCAGCCTTCAACTACCTGAAGGGAGGGGGTTTGAAAGAGGATGGTACTAGACTGTTCTCAGTGGTGGTAGATGACAGAACAAGGAGCAATGGTCTCAAGTTGCAGCAAAGGAAGTTTAGGTTAGATATTAGGAAGAATGTTCTCACTAGGAGAGTTATAAAACACTGGAACAAATTACCCAAAGAGGTGGTGGAAGCTCCATCCTTGGAGGTTTTCAAAACCTGGCTAGACAAAGCTTTGGCTGGGATGATCTATTTGGGAATAATCCTGCTTTGAACAGGGGGTTGGACTAGATGACCTCCTGAGGTCCCTTCCAACCCTAAATTTCTACGATTCTATCTAGTGACAACATCAGAAAGATAGTGTGGCTAACCAGGACTACAATAAAAATGCCTCCCAGAAGCACAGACACAAAGTAACATCAGCAACGTGAAAGTCAATTTTATGTTGTGTTTAAAACCAGGGCTTTAAAATTTATCTCATGCAAAGCCTTTTTTTTCCACCCATGGCATAGTATTGAATAACTGGCTATATGTGTTCCAAGATTTCTGCCTTGTCTCTTCAGTATAAAATACTGGTTGCTATCAGATGTTTGATTCTGTGTTCTCGTGAGCCAGTGGTCTGATCAGCTATGTTCCTTGTGCCACAAAACTGGATTTTTTCTGACAGAAGCTTGGGATTCTGCATTCATTAACGGTGACGGTGTTCATTCTCCTTTCTTGACAAGTAGCGCATTTAATTTTAATATCAATGATAAGAATACACAAATCATGCCTATAGAAACAATAATCAAATCATCTATGGATTTGAGATTTTTATGAAATGTTTCTCTTTTAAAAACATATATATTTACTTTTACTTTTGATAATTGCCATTTATAACATTTTCATCCTTTTCACTTGGGTCCTTATCCAACAATGGGGACCTTTCATATTAAATAGTTTTGTAGAGTCTCACTGTTAATACAAGGACTCCACACAAAGGTTTCTCTTCACAGGATAACAGATTTCAATGCATTATGATTTGGAATCTCAAACTAAATCATGCTCCTGGCAGAATATAATCCGCTGCAAAAATTGTTACTAAACATAATCCACCTTCAACTGAGGATAGTCTGGTAATTAGTTCATTTGGCTTGGTATGACTCCTCCCTGTTGTAAACACAGTGCTCATTAGTAAAAGTCTGCAAAACTGGGATCATAGTTTGTAAAGATCTCTGTACATTTTTAGACTATTCCTGGTTTGCTGCATTATTTTGCACACAGAGGTCTATTTTTTCCCCTGAGTAACCTGTCAGGGGAAAAAATCTCCCCAACCCCTGACACTCCAGATAGTTGATGAGTTTTTACTGGAACACAAATATTTTTTTTTTACCTAAACTCTCTCATTCTCTTAGTATTCTCTTTTTTACAAGTCTTTCTCCAGCCACACACTATTGTTGGCTGCCTACTAACTCCCTTTTATAGAAGTAACCATGGAAACTAGACACGATGGTAATTCACAGCAGCCTTATTTTTCTCTGGGATGGAAGGATACATATTGGCAGCAGACTAGAAGGTTTGGAATTCTTCCTTTTCCCACTGGAAAGTGATTTTATTTTCCAAAGGACTTGGTATAATTGATCATTAACAAAGATGGGGCTGTTTCTGTTCAGACACTGCTAGTGGACTGGTCATTGAAGAAACGTGATATAGATAATGTGATCATTTTTAAATATCTGTGGGTGTCTGATATTTGTTTAAAGTAACAAAAACAATGCCATCTCATCTTTTATCTTCCTTCTGTTTAGGGCTCTGATTCTCAAAAACTCTTTAGGTGTTTTAACTCCCATTGAAATATAATGGAGAAAGATGTTAAATACTTTTAAAGAATCTGGACTTGTGTGTCTTATTTACTGTTTCTTATACTCGTTTTCTTATTTAGAAAACTAATAATCTTAGGATTCAGATACTGTACAATTAATTGAATGCAAAGCAAGGAATTTAAAATCTCAAAGACAATAAAACAGATAGCCAGGCCTTATCAAACAGACTCTACTCAACCTCATGCCCAAAATGCCATCAGATGCACAACCAAGTAGAAAATATGCTCCAGATGTCAAAATATGCCCAAAGAGTTCTCTTTGAGAATACCTTGTCATAAATTGCTCTTATTTAAGCCTGGCAACTATAAATTTGAGTCAAGCACTGACTGCTAATTTATTTAATCTATGAGAACAGGAAGGCAACATGTTCTTTGTCTGAAAAACTGCTTAATTACTAAGCAGCTGCATTGCACATTAACTGGACCTTCCAAACAGTGTAAGAGCATAGCCCTATGCAGTGTATACAGCAGGATTCCAGGATCAAGACAGAAGAGATTAAGGCTAGAAATAGATGTTGCCAAACTAAGCAGATAAGACTGATTTATTCACTTTCACCTACGCGCTCCTAGGTCAAGATCACAGGATGTCCATAACATGCTTTATAACAGAAAGCTGTTCCCAAGTTCAGTCAACTGAATACCTTTTGAAAGCATTGCATTCACTTTGAACAACTTTCTTTCTTTTTTTTCCCTTTTTTTAATAATCAATGAAAGAACATAAGCATAAAGAACAAGGACAAATGTGTTATTGTAATGAAATCTGCTGCAATGCAAGATCCAGCAGTGTCAGCAATCTTATGATAATAAAAAATTACTGCATGTAACTGGTAACTTAATATAACACAAGGAAAAAAAAAAACAGTTGTTAGGGATTCACCCTAGGGTCTAGTCAACTGCACTGGCAAGCAACTTCCACTGATGTAAGTGGGAGTTTTACCTGAGTAATGAATGAATAAAAGAGTTCCTGACTGAACCCTCCCCTCTGACAGCATCTTTTGTCACATTTTGAAATAGAAGAATTAGCTGAACATAAGAACAGGAGACCAGTTTCACTCTTAACCCTTATGTTCCCAGCTTAATTTAGTTTGCAACAAAAGTTACATTAATTTAATATTACTTTAAAGTACATGATTGAGGCTTAGTAAGTGCTCAGAAAGGATTTACCTCAGAATAGTAGGATACTACATTTTCCCCCAAGAAACTATGCTAGTTGAAAAAGGGTTACTGCACGGATTCAAACCATCTGGGATCAATGTAGAAAAAACATATTATTCACACTTTTGCTACAGGAAGTTCAAAATTACCAGAACAACAGCTTGGAAAAAAGATGAGAGTGCTAAGGGAAATAATAGTAGGATAAAGTATAAGTATTAAGGAAATACTTACGTAAGCATTGAGGTACCTCACCACTCCAAGTTCCATTTCCAACACAGGTCAAAACAGCAGGAAAAGACAGTTCATAGCCGGGAGAGCACACATAGCTAATACTAAATCCCCAGTCAAAGTTTGTTCCTTCCAATCTGCCATTAGAGATCTGGGGAGGAGTTGGGCAGGTAACAGCTGCAATAATATTCAAAATAATTAGCCACAGCTGCTGTAAATATCCCTGGAGTACATAGTAACTAGAAGAACCATATGTGCTAATTTAACCTTTTTGGAGGGCAATACAGTGGTGACTTGTTATCATCCTGGCTGTATTCTTGCAACGTCACCTGAAGTTAACACTTCCGGTTACCTATATTTTTTGGCCGCACATTAGCTGCTTGTTATCATAATCAAGCATGCAAACTGAATGTTGCATCATGCCCGCTGGGAAGATAACATAGGTGATCACAGTACAGTCTTTATAATATATATTCTTCAGCAAATTCCTAAGAGTTCTTGCTACACAATTCCTTTTTTTGCCTTGTATGCCTCCCGAAGTATAGTTTCTATTGTACCTGGCTGCAATATTTTGTTCCTGATACCAATTTAGGGATGGTCTGGTTGTTAAAGCACAGGAATTAGATTTAGGAGCAAGGTCCTCAAAGCTGTGTGTATAGCTACACCCTTTCTTAGCAGATACCACAATGAGCAACCCCTGCCTCAGTATGTACTTTTACCTTTGATAATTGCTATTTATAATATTTTCATCCTTTTCACTTAGGTCCTAATCCTACAATGGGGACTTTTCATATGAATGCCTTTGTAGAGTCTCACTGTTAATACAAGGACTCCACACAAAGGTTTCTCTTCACAGGATAACAGATTGTAGTGTATTATGATCTGGAAACTCAAACTGAACCAAGCTCCCAGCAGAATATAATCCTCTGCAAAATTGTTACTAAACAATTACTAGGAGTTACATATTTTCACTTTGAAAGTAGGACGATTCAGGTTTTCCTCTCCTGAGGCTGCTGATGCTGCTCAACCTGACAGGGAAAGATGCTAGGTTAGCTCTTTCTTCTCAAGCATTGGGGTGGAGGGACTGGAGATTTTGAAGGCACCTCATTTAAGACCTGAGGAATGAAGAAGATAGGCCTATCGGTCTGATGGTGCCTAACTAAGTAGCAGAAATAGCAACAAAGAGGTGGTGCTAGATGGAACATTGCTATCTGATTTGGGTGAGCATGCTGTGGCGGTGGCAACAATTAACTTTGAAGTCTGAATGGGAGGATGAAAAAAAAAAACGTGAGATTAGGCTGAAAAAGGGAAAGGGGAAATAATGGGGGCAGGACACTGAAAGGGATGAGACATAAGGTGAATGACTGAGAAAAAGAGAAGAAATAAAAAAGGAAAAGTGAATGAGGAGATTGCCACTGAATGTACATGAAGGGAAGAGAAAGGGAAGGATTAAGTGGGAAGAACTGGATGGAATTTAGTGGAGACTGGGAGGAAATGAGAGTTGAAGGCAATGAATGAAAACTAATGAGAGGAGAGCTAAAAGACAACATGTGAATGGAGGAGAGGTAGGGACTGTGCTCATAAGCTTCAAACTTACGCTGAGTCAGCCTGTCATTCTGCATGCAAGAAAAAAACAAATTAGAGGGATCACAGGTCAGGAGCACTAGGTTCTTGAGTGTGACCGGTAGAAGCCACCTGGCCTTTCCGTGAATCAGCCTCCACCGGGATATATAATGGCATTTTTGCTCTTCTGTATTTTACCGAGAGGCTCTGAGGTTTCATTTGGTAACTCTGGATGAAATTACTATGAATATAATAATTTATTTTCAAGAACAAAACCAAGGATTTGAAGGTGACCTCAGATTCCCTTTCTCATTGGGATATAAAAATAAATAAATAAAATGGGTGTGGCATTTCCCCCTTTCAATCCTTTCACCCTTGTAGAGCTCTTCCATCTTTTCTTCATACAGTTGCAAGGGTTACACAATAATCACTGACACTCTCACCCTTATCCCCTAGACATGGTCTGTCTGCCAAATCAAATAGCTTTATAACTAGCCTTTGTAAAAGAGAGTTTGCATTTCAACTTTCGAGCTGTGAAGTAATAGACCTGTTGGTTGTTGATATCATGTAAAAAGAGCTAGGGGAAGAAAATAAATGTCAAAAGCTCCAGAATGGGGAAGGGGCGGGGGGGGGCAGGGGGATAAAAGTAAACACTACCCTGTTATAGGTTGTCAACAACAGTAGCAGAAATTGAATAATTAATAATGTATACCTCTAATGGGCTCTGTTAGGTCTTTTCAATTTAAATTTGTGTTACAAATACAAAGTGTGCATTTAGGACAGTTTGGCAGAAAAGTGCTATGTCTGAATAATTCACACTATTTGAGAATGAATACACATGTCTTTCCATTGCAGAGACAAAGCAAGGGAAACATTTATATCTAGTATTTCAATAGCACTCAGACAAAAATGTATCTATTTTCTAGGCAGTTCATTTTCCAATTATTTTAGCTAAATGGTACCAAAGGAGCCAAAATCCTCCTGACAGTAAAAACTAGCTATTATATATTTCCAAATATATCATTATACATTATGCATTCCTTTTGATTACACATTCAAAACAAATGGTTGCATTCATTTACTAGTGCATATTACTTTTTTCATTGCACAGAAATTTGGAAAGAATAAAAGAGGGAATTTCTGAGAGCATCAGTGATTCCAAACGTTATTCTTGCATAATTCCATAGGTGTTTATCACAATTAAACAGACAGAAACATTGATAGTGCTCCAGACCCAAAGAAGTCCCAATATCTGGTCCAGAGCTGAAAGCTCAATTCTTCACCCAAGGCCTTGGCAGGGTATTTCTAGAGTTATATTAGAGAATGCCTCCCCTGTTCTCATTTAGTGTTGCTTAGATGGTAAGTTATGAAGGAAGAGTTTCTACATTCCCTCTGCATGGGCAACAGCACTGGGAACACACAGTCATTTCTCTAAGGGTCAAACCAACCTGTGTAATGCTCCCCTTTAAGCCTTGAATCTGAATCTCACAGCAACCCTATTTGTTTCTGGAGTGTTCTATGGCAAAACAGAATCCCCCTCCACATGTATCTGCCAACTCTCAGCCAGTAGCCTAATGACAAGGACACTTATATGATGAACAGGAGAACCAAGTTGTAGCTCCTTTTCATGTACTTTTTTTTTTTTTTTCGCTTCTTCTGCCAGAACAAGAAAGCAGCACAATTTGGTGAACAAATGTGTACTTGACCATTTGCTGATTTTTTTCATATGTTGTTGCTTAAAGAAAGTATTGAGCATAATGTTACTATAGAATGGGGTTCAATTTATGCACCTGGAACAAAGGAGGGACCAGGGAAAGGATGTGTGGGAAGGATGGGAACAGTCCTGGATTCTCTCTCCCTGGGAAGTTCAGTCTGTGAGATGCATTCCAAGGGTCACTATCATGGTCTTTGTGAATAAAAGATCCTATGTTATCTATGGTATAATTTAGCCTTATGCAGAGAGGATGAAATCAAGCTAAAGCAAGAAAAATCAGCTTAAATAACTTTTCAGTTGGTAGCAGAAAGTGAACTCGTTCCTCAGAGCCCCAGTAAACCCTCTATACAGCTAAGTGTTTAAATTTATAAATAACTATAAAAGATGCAGATGGTACGGAAAGTTTTTAAAGCCAAGAAATCAAATAGACTTAGAAACAAAATAACTTATCACAATGTGCCCAGACATACTGGGTCTTGACGTATAATGAGGAATTATAACTTTAACAGTAAACAATAGAAATGAATATCACAAAAGAAGTAGGGTTGACAACCAAATGAATACTTTACCTTTACAAGTTGGGACTGTTCCACTCCATGTGCCATTACTGGTACAAGTGCGAATGATAGAGCTGTTTGATTCCATTATATAGCCAGGCTGGCACATATAAGTAACATTTTGTCCAACAACATAATCATCGCCATATCTCATTCCATTGGGTGGTATACCTGGATCTCCACAGCTAATTACTGAAAGTAGGGAATTGAACAGATGTTAAAACATTAATTTGGCTGTGTATTTGTAAGCTAAAAAAACAAGTCATAAAATTAATGATTTATTACAAAAAATAATACAGCCATAGAAAATAAATATATATGTTATCTAACTTATCTGCCACATAAAACATGTGAATACATACAGCACCTACATTTTAGAGAAAAATCAACACACCTGTTCAAAAATAGAACTAATGGACTGTACTATTTTAATCAAGTAAAATTTTAATAGTAGAAAATGGAAACAAAATTAGCAAAGAAATTAGCCATATGCTGCACTTGGCCTTTAATGCCCAGAAAAGTACACCAAAGAGATAAATCTTAAAGTGGTAGATGTCAATCTGTGCTGTTTATTTTTGCATTTAGCACTTGAATATACACAGTGGAGAACCTGCAACATTTTTTAATTGATATATCTAGGTCCCCCTCTAATTTGAAAGTACTCATCTACTTAATATGTAGATAATATATGCACAGAAGAGAGTATATGCATGCAGATACAAAGGTAGGTACACAACATGAACTACAGTTTACAATGAAATCAGTATCTGGTCTCTTAAAGTGTTATCATCATTTTGAGGAAGGATGGTTGTCAAGTTGCTTTGTGCCACTCAGTACTAGAAAGAGATCATTGCATTATGAGAATACATCATTGCATCATGAAAATAGGTCATAGAACTTGAGAAGGAAAAATAGGTGAGATTTTCATTTCATCACTGGCACTCTGATTTATCTTCTTCTGGCATAGTTCAACAGAATAGAAGAAATCCCATGTGTTCATTACTGACAAAGACTGAGAATCATGACTTCTAGGAATGAAGATACACCTTGAAAAAGGTTCCAGTTTCTACAAAAGAAAACACCCTATCTGTTTGGCAATTCAATTTACTGTGAACATATCAACCCCTCTGCTCAGCTTTTTCACTAGATCCTCAGTGAATAGAGTCTAAATAACATGTTCAGATCAAATTTTCAAAGGCAACTATAGTCAAAGAAGGCTCTGTGTGTATGCCTACATTAGTAAATGCAAACTGCCTGAGCTAGCTTTAAGCAAGTTAGTTCAGATTAGTAACAGTCGTTAGGGATAGGTACAGACATTCAAAAAGCCCAAGGTGGAATCAATCTAAGTTATGTGGTTTTCTGTAACCAGCATAGTCTAGATCAGTAGTGAACAGAAGACACATTTGCCCTTTGGTGTAGATGGCAGCGGGGGAAATCTTAGCCCAGTTCCACAATTTTTAAACTAGTCTGTGTGTACTGAACGTCTCTTCTATTATGGGTATAGACCCGTTTTGTTCGCCAACCTTCTGTTCTGTTACAGGCATAGGATGGTTTCCATTCACTTATACCAGTATAAGTGTAACATCTGTACCTGGCGTAGGTGTGGCAACATGAAGTTCATTGAGGGCTAATCTAGCCCGCTTCGAGGAGGGCAATATCTTTTTTTCATAATGCATTCCATATGTTTTTTTAAAGATCCAGTTCATATCATACTAGAACTTTATTTAGCAAATGTCCCAAAACAAAAACATATCTTCAAACATAACTCCACATCTTCTACCTCCTTTTTCAGTTCCAATATTTCATTTTCCAGGGGTTTGTTGTTATCAAGAACATCACAAACACTACCCTGGTAATTCTGTATGAACTGGACTCTATTAGAGTATCCAGGCCTTTAACTCCTACAGTCAGCCATAAACTGCACTGCTATGGAGCTGCCCTCTCTTAGAAAGAAGTGCAAATTCACTGCCACAATACTCAAACAGCTCTAGAGACTGCCCATTTACTTCTATTCAAATTTGTTCTGCTTGTTTGCAAAAGGCAGCTAAGCGTTTCTCCCATCTCTCACTGACCTTTTCTATTTCTTCTATCACCCCTGCTTTCTGCCATCACCCTACCATTTGTCCCACTCCCACAGCTAATGCCCTATTTGAAAATCTGTTCAGCCACTATACAGAAAGATCCTTCACTTTTGCAGCTTCTGTAACTTCCTTTTCTCCAATTTACTGTCTTTATTTAATACCTCACCAGAGCAGGGGGGTGGGAAGAGGAGGGAGGGGGGACTGAATCTCTTTTCTGCCTTGCTTACATCTCAATTTTTCTCAGCCTCTGCTATGCTTTATTATTGAACTCTATCTAATACTACAGGATAAAGTCTGTATGAAATTTATACAAACAAAAATTAAAATTTCTGTAAAGAAAGTATATATTTTTAGCATTATTTAACTACAGCGATACTTAAAGTATAAAGTATATTCTGTACTTCAGGATTTAGCTTACTACTACAAACTGGGATATTATATCAATTAAAAAAATACATGGCAGATTGGGGTGAGGCAAGGGTTTTGTGTGACTTAATTGGGCTTATGGGGATAAGTCAGGTTTCTGTGGAGCCTGTAAAAATCCATGGAGTAGTTCTTTTAAAAGTTCAGCCAATATTTTATCACTTTAGTTACAAGTTAGAAATACAGATATAAGTTTCTGAGGATCTTTCTTTTGCTTGATTGGTTTAAAAAACATGGATAACCAGTTAGTAGTTAACCTAATGGCTGAAATGCTATTATCCTTGGAGCTGCCCAAACAGACTGTTTGCTGACAGTTTCTGAAGTATGTGGAAAAGAATTGTGATGGTGCCATTCTTTTCAAGTCCAGAAGAGTCCAATTAACACACTTTTTACATTATTGTCACACAACAGAGACTGAGACATCATCTTGGATAGTTGAGATTGGAATGTGTTTTTATGCAGGTATTATAGAATTATAAATCCTATGTTGAAACATTTTTAAAATATTTTTAGCAGCAGCAAATGCATTCATCTGAGGAACACCAAAAATGTATTGTTTAATAAGCTTAAAAATAAAAATGTAAGAAGTCATTCATACTGTTATACAATGTTTTGACATGCTTTTTGTATATATAGAATATATGTTTGCTAACAAATTTGCACATACACTGTCTTTGAGGTTAACTGAGAACTAGTAACATTTACTTAACAGGTTTTTGCATGGAACAGGTACATAGGCTAACTCCGTGTGATGCTTTTTTAAAAGACTGAACTCTGGCTATTCTTAAGCAAAATATTAGACTGAGGGATAGAACATTACCTCAAAATCCTTCTAACTATGTTTCAATCCCATTTGTTCACTCTAATTTATGAAGGAAAAAACACCTTTGGGCTTCTATTCATTTGCCGAAAAAAATTAAGCATGCTGCAAAAATTGGACTATGCATGTATTTGGAATTAAATGCATCTTTTATTTAGTTCCCTCTTTGGAAAAAGTAATATATGACCTGTCATAATTCTGCCCTATGCTTTGCAAAATTAGACACTAATTTAAAATACAATAAATTGTTGTACCTATGGAGATGAAATATTTAATCAAAATGGCTGATGAAGTAACATGTGTAGAATACCTGTTCAAAATTAATATAACTTTCACTGAAAGATTAACTGAAGGATTGTAATAAACCAAAGGGGCTTTAAGGGTAACCTGATTTCAAAGGTTGTTTTAGGAGTGTGGGGGGAAAAAAAAGGAAAATGAAAACTAGAGAAGCATTAATAACCTATCAGTCAGTACAGAAGGCAATACTAGAGTTACTGAAAAGGCCAAGTTGAATTGTTACCTGAGAGAGAGAGTAATTCTCTCTTGCAAGTCTCTATTAAAAGAACTTTCAAGTCTCTCACTCTCAAGGTTTTAATTTACTTATTTTTCTACAAAACAAATGAATTATCCCATTGAATTCATGCATTGTTGGTGAGGGGCCTAGAAAGGTCACTGATTTTCCTCTTGAAGCAAAACAGTAATAATTAAACTAAACAAGATATAAATCAACCAATGCCAATAAGCATAGGCTATTTTTGTGTTTCTATTTTTTTTCTATTTTGTTTGGTACTTGAGCTGATTTTTAAATTATCATTACAACTGTAAACCACTAACTCATTCCTTGTTAGTGGAATATAACCACCGATATTCTGAAATGGAATAAAAGTATTTAAAAGATATATTGTACAAAGTAGGCGTTTCTGAAGATGAGTGTGTCTTCAGCTATTTTGCTATATGTTGATATATGTATGCAATTCCATAGCTCTGTCTCCTTTGTACCAACTAGAAGGTAATTTTTATGACACCTTTGTTCAGTACGAAAATGCACATTCTGTGTTGAAATAATTCCTTTGATTTGCATTTATCCTCAGAATAGTTTTGGCAGACAGGTAAGAACTACAGGACACTGTTGACCTGTGGCTGCAGGGTGGCGTGGGCTTGGTCTGATGTATTCTAGCCTCCAGAGCCTCAAAAAATCTCCTGGGATTTACAGCCATGTAGGCTGTTCTCTTCAGTTACTTTTCCTTCCACATGCTATGTTACGTCAAATGTCAATGCTGGTGTGTAGGAAAGCAGGCATATAAAGAGGTGTCAAAGAATCCATAAAGGAAGACGATTTCAAGTGTCTAGCCACAAAATGAGTTCTTATTTGCAAGTCCTGTTGTTGTTGTTATTGACTTTTATATCCCACCCTATCCAGAGAAGCTCAGAGTGGATTACAATTACAGATAATGTGCATAATATCCTTGTCCCCCACCTTTTTTCTTCTTTTTAAAATTCTAATGGTGGTTTACAGCTCTGCCATTTTTTTCTGGTACAATTTAGGAGAAAGAGAAAAACCCTCCAAACTACTGATGCATTACCATTATACTCTATTTTCTAGAATATGACTGTGAAAAAAACCCTCCAAAGCATTTTTTTTTTAAATATTATCATGCTTTCTCTTTCCCCGTCTCTGGAATTGTCTAAACATGACTTTCAAAGTAATAATAACTGGTAATGTAACAACATCAAGATAGATGATACAAATATGGTGGGAGTAGACAGAAGGAAAGAGAAGGAAAAATAAGATATTACACTGCTTTATAATAAATGAATACAGTATAAATGCTTAGATGGGTATAGTGGAAGCAGAGCTATTTTTATGA